CAAATACATATTAAACAGTTTCACATTTCTTCAACAATTTTGCATTGATCATTTTTTAAAGGAATTAATTGATCCAATGCTTTTGTAATTATTTTTCAGATTATTTGATAGTCTTAAACCTTTTACTGAAGTGCGTCTGTCCTTCAAATTTGTTCACATTTTCGCTTTAACAAACATTTCTAGTCCCTTCTAATTATAGCAGTTTTCCTCTCTTAACAAAATTTGATTAAAAGTTTGAAGGTAAATCATTTTTATGAGCTTTATACATAGCCTGCAGAATATGATATTCAACCAACTCGTAAAATTTTTATGAATTTTAATTGATGAAACAATTTATTGGGTGATAGTGATGCTTTCTTGTGATAATTCTTATGGCTATTTTTTGTCAAATAAAAACAGGATTAGTAATTGTTTTACATGCATTTCCCCAGACTTCTATACAATAAATCAAATGTGGAGCAATTATTGCATTATACAGTATAAATAGTGCTTTTCTTTAAATAGCTCCTTAACTTTATACAGTACTATTATGGCATTTTATACAATACATACATTATATTCAGTCTGCTCTGGGAGGTCAGAGGTTTATAAAAGTCCAAATCCACAACGTTCTGATGACAAACCTGCTGCTGAAACGATCCGACTCATAAACTGATCTAAATCAAGTCACCAGGAGGATCTGATTCAGATAAACAGCGGCAGGAATTTTAAACAGTTTATATGGCTGCTGCTATGCACTTAGCTTAATGATCATTCGCACTGAAGTGACTCATTCTACCTCCTCTAAATGTTTTATTTTACAACTCTTCAATTTTAAATGTTATTCTCATTAAAGATTAGATTAGGATTACCCTTTTTATCCACATTAGAAGAGAAAGCCCCCTCCAACTGCTTAAAAAACAAATATTTATCACTCTAAATCATTTAGTTTTTTACTATCCAAGTAGTCAAATTTTACTCCAGTAAAAGTACTTTTACTGGAGTAAAATACTCCAGTACGCGGCTCCTTTCTGTGGTGGCTGGTTGGGTGGCTGCAGCAGTAATTTCAGGATAAACGCTCTCAGATGAGGCTGGTGGTGCCTTTCAGCTGCGACTGGGCTCCAAGCATGCCATTTTGTTTGTAAATGGGAAACATGTGGAACGTTCCGGGAAGATCACAGTCAGGTTGAGCGATTATGTGAAAAGAATTTAAAAAAAAAAATAAAAATCCCACACGGCTTTAACATCCAACCACCATTCATGGCAGGGAGAAATGGGCTGCAGTCCAGGCGCAGCTCTGGCTGTTTGATTCAGAGATTTCTCTTTTTTTAAGGCTGCTCAGAACTTCAGAGCAGCTTCTTTTTTTTTACATAAGCATTGAATTAAATGAGCACACAGAGAATAAGTAAAAGTAAATAATTTACAAATAAATAAAAGATGAATTTGTAAAACATAAAACTGTCATTAAACACAATTTCTATAATATCATTTTAGCTTTTCAAATGTTAAAACTACAAATTCAACAAAGATTTGTATATTTTATACAGTTTTTTTGTTTTGTTTTCTTTCTGATTTTTGCTCTCAGCTTCTGTTTTAGTTTGTCACAACTGTTTAGCTAATTGTAGCTTTTAGTGCTTTGTTGGTTTTAGCTACTCTTCTTTATTTTTGCTACTTTTTAGTGGGTTTTAGCTGTTAGCTACTATTTAGCTAATTTTAGCTTTAACTAATATGATATTGGTTTTACCTTGTGTTTATGGTTTTGTCGGTTTTAGCTTTTAGCTAATGTTTAGTGAGTTTTAAGCTGGTAGCTACTGTTTTGCTAATTTTAGCTTTAATTACTGTAATGTTCATTTTAGCTTTTAGCTATTTTTTGGTGATTTTTAGCTGTTAGCTACTATTTAGCTAATTGTAGCTTTTCATTATTGTGTTGTTGATTTTGGCTTGTTGGTTTTATCTTTTTGGATTTTAGCTGTTAGCTACACTTTAACTACTTTGTTGTTGGTTTTAGCCAGAGGTCTATAAAATACTTGAAAAAAATAACTAAGTAAAAGTAAAATTACATGAACAGAAAATGACTGGTAAAAATAAATGTCACTGATGAGAAAACTACTCAAGTAAAAGTCATAAAACTTTCACAAAAATTGGGAAAGTAAAAGTAAAAGTACTTTTACACACTCTCTAATAAATAAACTGTTGAATTTACTGAACCAAACTGGTTCCACTGAGCCAGGTTGAGTAAACTGAGAGATATATGTTTATTATTTTCTCAATTTACTCGTCTAATCTTAGTGGAACCAGTTGACTTGACTTTGTTGAGTAAATTCAACACTTCATTTTTAGAGTACAGAAACATCTTTCATGAGTTCGAACATATTTAATTTTGTAACAAGTAACTAGGTGTTAGATTTTAAAGTAAAGAAGTAAAAGTACCATTTTTAGCTTTAAAATTTAACAAAATAAAAGTAAGAGTAGCTATTTAAAAATAGTTCGTAAAATTCCAAATCCTCAAAAAACTACTTAAGTACTGTAACAAAGTAAATGCACTTAGTTACTATAAACCTCTGGTTTTATCTTCTAGTTGCTGCTTTAGCTGTCAGTTATTTAGCTGCTTTTAGCTTTTAACTCCTGTTTTGTTGGTTTTAGTTTTTGGTTAGTGTTTTTATGGTTATAGGTTTTAGCTGCTGTTTATGAGTTTTAGCTTTCAGCTACTATTTAGCTAATCTCAGCTTTTAGAGAACGTTTTTGTTTTAACTTTTATTTATTGTTTTGTTTTCTTTCAGGGTATTTGTTAACTTGTTTGAATTTATTTCTGGTTTCCCATCTTTATTTAAACATGAAATCTTTTCGAACGTCTGTGAAAGAGAAGTGAACGGATTCTGTTGTTTGTGTTTCCGTTTAAAGCAAATAAATGAAGCACAAAATGTCATTTACAGATGATCACAGTCAGATTTAATGATCCATTTCTGAAAGAAAACTCCTCGTCAAAGCTTTGTACAAATTAAAATCTAATAAATGAAGCAGTCTGACTCTTATAAACATCAAAGTCCTTTTTATTTGCTTCAACAAATCACATTATGTTAGGGAGAGGTAAAGGAAAAGCAGAAGATTTCTTATTTAGGAAACGACTTTCATCTGGGAACACAACAGCTCCCCAGCAACGGTTTTTATGAGGAAAGTCTGTATAATTCTAAGCAGATTAAAAAGATCAAACTTTACCACAAACATTTTTTAATATTGTTCTAGCTGGAAATCTATTAACAACACATGTTTACAGATCCTGACAAGTTCAGCTAGTATTTTAGATTTACTAGAAATAAACATTATTCCAAGTGATTAATCCTGGTAGAGCAGCTAAAATCAAAATGTAGTAAAGTTGTGGGTAAAAGTCACTGATGTAATTTGTGGGGGGACTAGGGGTGTATGACCCCCCCCCCCCCCCCACACACACACACACAATAATTTGATCCAGTGAATGTAAAATGTTATAGCCTCCCTTGCCTTCCTACACAGTTGCGCTCAATTCTAGTTTCCTTCTCTGCTCCGTCTGGGACTTCTCCCATAGACAAGGACTTTGCTGGCAGATTTTTAGCCGGGCCAATCAGAGGACAGAACGTTGATTTTCTGCACAGTGTCTGCTTGTAGTTTATTTTACCTGGGCCAATCAACAAACAGAAGGCGGAGTTTTGAACTTTGTTGATTTTCTGCACAGTGTCTGCTTGTAGTTTATTTTACCTGGACCAATCAGCAAACAGAAGGAGGAGTTTTGAACGACATTGAATGACGTTCTGCGAAGTGTCTGCTAGTTATTTTAGCATACGGCAGTGGAGGAAGTGAATGAAGCCAGTCCGTGTTGATAAGGCTTCCAAATTAAAATAAATTTGTCTGACAAAGCAGCAGCTCTCATTTACAGTCGTCTCGTTCGGCTCAGTACTTACAGCGCACACAATTTCCGGTTAGCTTCTTAGCTTAGCCTCCTTCACAGCGACATATGTCGCGGCCAACTATGCTTCTGACCCTAGTACCTAAAATTAACCATCAACCCTGATCCCTAAAATTAACCATTTTTAGAAAGTGTAGGAAATTCACGTCAACTACCTGTCCCAACCCTAAAATTACCTCATATTCACCCTACACATCCTATCCCTGACCCCACTACCTAAAATTAACCATGAACCCAGATCCCTAATATTAACCACGGACCCCAACTCAAAGACCCCTATATTTTGCATCCCAACGCGTCAAAAACCGGATGCCGAGGGAACCCGGAAATGCCTGGTGCGTCAATGGCTATACGTTCACACTGCAGGTCTTAATGCTCAGTTCCGATTTTTTGAAAAAATCCGATCTTTTTGTGTGAACGTTCACA